AGGCTGCAACGCTCAGCTTCAACGGGTCGCAGCACATGGAGGTAAACATGGACACCGAATCTTTGACGCAGACCGAGGACATCGTGCTCCGCTTTCGCACCAGCAAACCCCTAGGTCTTCTGCTCATCACGAGCACCGTGCAGACTGGTGACAGAATTGAATTGGCCGTTGCTGCGGGTCGAATTCGCATGGCTCTCAGACTTGGCGTCAAGGACAAGAAGCAGGAGGACAAGGAGAAGGATAAAGTAAATTGAACATTTAATCGTCTTTTCTTTACAAGAAGTACATAATTCGTGAAGGATACTCCGTTAATGCATTTCTCAATATGCATGTTTTTTAAAACAAAATTATATTAGAAAAAAGATTAACAAAAAATGCTTACCGATTATCATTATTAGACACAATCATAAACACAAGTCCAATTATTGTTCTGTGTATTGATATTTGTATAATTACGACTATGACCATTAGCGTTATTTCAATGTTGATAGCACACAAACAATAACATCCAAATACCAATATTTCAGATCTTATTGGCGGGACAAAATGTAAACGATAACGAATGGCACACGGTGAGGTTCTCCAGACGCGGCGCTAATCTTAAGCTTCAGCTGGATGGGAAGACACCACTTAGAGGTATCTCCTCAATTTCTTATATCTTACCACCTCCCTAACATTAATCATTAATATTTTCTTCAGCTGAAACGTTCGGAAAATACAATACGCTGCAATGGAGAACCATCCATTTGGGTGGACTCTATCATCAGGAAGAGGAGATCAGCATGACCACGACCGTACCCAACTTTATCGGAGAAATCCAACAGTTTTACTTCAACAATATTCCATATATTGAACTCGCACGTGCTTCCAGCAGCGAGCATACCCTTACCGCAGGTCGGCCCCGTGAAGGTGGTGTCTGTGCAGTCGCACACGAAACGATTCCAACCTTCTGTGCAGCCACCTCCATTGAGACAGGGCTGCGACGGGCATTGCTGCGGCTGCACATGGCACAGCGTTTTAATTGACCCTAGAACGAAAAGCGGAGAGGCAGTTTAATTGGAGTGGGCCACGCTGCGCCACGCTCGTTAAATTCTCCGCAACCCCCCGAAAAACCAATTTATTTATTTATTTGCAAATCCACTTTACCTGAGTCCTGTTCCCGCGCGAAGCTCGCAACGTCAACGGCTTCATTATTCATTACGAGGTCCTTGAAGCAGCCGACGAAGCCCTGCTGAAGGACGGCCGTCCACAGACCAGAGGGAACAGGGATGTCGGAGAATGGAGGGCCCAGTCCTCCAACGTACAAATTACCGTCCAATTCCAAACTATTCGAACCTTCTACAAAAATTATAAAATCATGTTTCACATGTAGACTCTTGGATCCTACGTTGTATATTTTATTATTGATAAGTTAGGTAATTCATAACACTAATTATAACTGTTATACAGATTAATCAAGTTCATCCCAATATATAGATTTCCAATAAATTTCAAATACATAGAGTTCGATTCGAATTATATGTTACTTTTGTTAACTTATTTGATAATTGCATACAAATAATACTAAAAGCAAATATTCGGTCACTGCAATAATAATATATATTATTATTTCATTAAAAAATTAGTAAGCGGATTAAATAATCTGCTACTATTGCTGGAAAACAAGTTTATATTTTATTTTATAAAAAAAGAAACAAGAAGAATTCAATTCAATCGATTATATATATTATTTTGTCAACTTAACAAGAAAATATATATTTTGTGGGTACTAGACACTATGCCTAATGAATAAGACGGCTCTGGCCTCACTGGCCTAATATTGTTTGGAAGCTTTTTATGTCTGATAGTTTTATTTCAGTTGATTAGAAAGAAATTATAATGCAGTGGAACCTCGCTTAACGAGCATCTCGCATAACAAGCAAAATGAATTGTAAAGAAAATGACTCGTTTAACGAGCGACGTTTCGCATAACGAGTGAAGATGAGAAGAGAAGTCCCGGATGTGCCTGCTACATCATTTTCAAAATTTGTGTACACATATTATGTATATTTTTTAACTGTGAGTATTTTTTAAGTGCGAGTGAAAATCCGCAAATTTTGGAACGAATTAAACTCGTCAAGCGAGGTTCCACTGTACTTCCATATATATTAAAATGAATGAACGTTCACTCTCACCATCAGCAATGCTTGCTTGCCTCATCTGTATATACTCAGATTAATTTGCGACGAAGTTGTAAAATCCGACACTTAATTTTTGATAGCCGGATTTAATATTCCATCTCGGAAATTTATTGCCATCCAAAAATATATTGGATTTATAATATTTCCTAAAATATGATCGGCGAATTACTACTGGAAAATACTTCAGCCATACAACTCCTATTTCCTTCTAATTAATAAACCATCAAATTTATAGCTCGACAATTATCGTTTATATATAATAAGAACTCTGGCAATGGGTCTAGTATATATAGTGAAATCTAACTTAATATCATTTTCCTATTGTGTCCAACCGTTATTATTACAATTATTATTATTAATATAGTGTATTAACGAATTAGAGACATCCACGGCGTCTCTTAGAAACCTTATTATAAAAACATATACATAAGTAAGGAACCTCCACCGTGAGACCGATTGTAATATTCATTCCTACCAATTACTAATAAGAACATCGCTCATATTTTCAAGTGGGAACCAGACGCAGAATTGGCAGAATCCGTACAGGAGCAGTGACCTGAAGCGGAGCGTCTTATCAAAACCGTGCCTAACTCCTCAAAATTCCGCCCCCTTGTTTAGTTAATTTTATACGTAGAATAAGGATTTGTAATTAGTCATAGGAAGAACATTAAAGAATCAAGTCCTATCGAATATTTTAATAATAAACCGAAAGTAAAACTCGTTCAATTTATTATTTATAAAACCTAAGGCTCTGCAACAGACAACAGTGAAAATATCCCACAGTGTCCAGAAAACCATCCCCTTGGACACGACAATCCTCTGTTTTGATTTTTTTCATTATTACTAATTGATATGTTCAAAGCGTAAATATCTAATTAATTTCATATTTATATACTAAGGATTAATGTAAATATCAGTGTTGTAAAACATGTGTGAAATT